AGGATTTTGTCTCGGGGGGGGGGGGGGGGGGGGGGGGCGGGGGGGGGGAGGCGCCCATGACAAAGTGCTGTATGAGGGGGACGGCGGAGAGGAGGTCCCGCAAAATGGAAGATTGGGGGGGGGGGGGGGGGGGGGAGGGGGGGGGGTCCCGGGCCCCATGCCCTCCGCCTCCCTTGCTACGTGCCTGGTTCTCTTTATGGACACCCGAGCCTCCAGCACCTGGTTGTTTCCTTCCGCAGTGCTTTTGCTGCGCGTACAAGCTCGACGCTTCCGAGACGACGAAGCGTTGCCGAAGGTATCGACGCGCGCTGGAAGTGTTGCAACTGAAACTCCTCTCTACCGTTCACATTCAGTCAGTGACCTTTGTTCTTCTGTTTCCCACCACGCAACCTACATTTATCCACCATAATCACTCACTGCTTAAGAATCGCAGGGCGTGGTGGGTCCGGAAGCATCTTATTATCGCTCCCTCAGCTACTGAGCTTGTTTCTTGTTGCTAGGAATTTTTTAATTGATTTTTTATCGTAAGTGTGTGAGGAACAACGTTCAGACATTTTGTCTCACAAAATTCGCGTACTCTGAGAACTGCGTGAAATATTCGATGAAGCGCAACTTACGCCTTCTTATTCAGTCAGCACCAACAACAAGGTGTGGGCAACGTTCCTTACGGTTTAAAATCACGCGGCAGTTGTACAAAAAAAAGATTAAATGAGACTGCTAAATTTCCGATCGCTCTCACCAATCCTGATATACGTTCTTACAATTTGTTAACTCTCCGTTTGTCGGATGTCCGAACAGCGTTCACGACGGCTATTTGCGCAAGAGGTCACGTGAGAGGCACACTTTGAATTGCTTATGGTTAAATTCTTATAAATCGTCGTTGCTGACATGTATTTTTGTGAATAGAGTAGTTTATCAATAAAAAACTACCAGCGAGCTCAGTAGGAATACGATGCGTACATTAGCTTGGAAAATGCCTACAAATATAGAGTATGACCTCATCGTAACCGCGCTAAATTTAGACGGAAAACAGCCGTCACGTGACCACAACATTAATTAAATTCCCCACTAAATTTAGCAGGGAACTTAAGTTTCTCCGCTAGATTTAGGGGATAAATTCAGTTTTTCCGCTATATTTAGCGGACAAGTGCAGTTTTTCCCCTATGTTTACCGGGAAAATGAACGTCACGTCACCTCAACACCAATTCAAATCCCCGCTAAATTTGATGGGGAATTGAATTGGTGTTGAGCTCACATGACGTCGATTTTTTACTTAGGTAAATTTAGTGAAAAGCTGTAGGAATAGGGGAGGGTACGTAGGAGGAGGAGGTGAGGGAGCGGAGGAGAAGGAGGAAGGGTGGGACTAGGAGAGGGTACGGAAGAGGAGGAGGGGCATACTCTCCCCTTCGTACCCTCCTCTCCTCCTCCTGAAAAGCGCCACTCTAATTTCGCATTACAAAAATTTGAAAACGTATTTCATTTTTTTTTTTGTACTTGTTCATTAGTATCGGTGGTTATAAACTCTCAATACGTCCCAGTCACAACACCAAGCCCAATTCTTGTAACCTTCAACTGATTACATTCGCGAAGGACGTCGTGTAAATAGCACGCAAGAAACATCTTTCTCAGCAACGTAGAACAGGGGTAACTGAATCAATACCTTTTTTATAAGTAAGGAAAACAATATTGGAAAATATTTATTGTGATAATTTTGATTGATTTTATTGCTCCAAGTGGTTGTTATTTGTTAGAGATAGAATGCAAGACGTTATAGATCACCATACCTGCAAGAATAATAATTTATCTATAGTCTTCATGGTTTTCGTAAAGAAAGTTGGTAGTTCGGAAAGCGAAGTTAGCCTTACATCTCAGTATCATAGCTCACGCATCGTACCCAGAAAGAAAAAAATAAAAACAAAAATATGTAAACGAGACAAGCCTGGAACACAATTTACACAATGCTCCATATTGCATCAATCGCATGTTCATCGATATTAAGTTGAGAATTTGCCCTGGAATTTAAATTCAGCGTTTAGTTAAATTGAAAATGAGGAACACCACTCGCAGACACAGACACCCTTGATCGTTCAAGATCCCATCGAGTTTGTTATATATCAGTTTTTTATTCATTTATTTGTCTTATATCCAGAAACAGCCGATACCTTAGTACAGGTACACACTCAGACACAACATACACTTTAAAAAAAACACGTACACCTAATGGCAGAGCACATACAAAACCCGAACAGTGCTGCTAGTAAATGTGAATGTTTAGCGCGCTTTTCAAATCCCTCTCAGTCCAATCCATTTATCAATCTATTTGACAACCTAATTCAATTTATCGTTTACCAGGTAATACTTACGTTTACGGTTCATTCCATATGAAAATACCCGTTTTTGTTTCGGTTAGAGCTACCGAAAAATGTTCACTTCTAAACGGTTTTAGGTTCGGGTTACTGTAAGGGCTTGAGTCCTTGCTTCTTTTTAGTGCGTCACACCCACGCCTGGACATCTGCTTTATTTCAGTGCTGTAGGCTTGACCGACGGAAAGTTACAAAATACTTTGCATGCTGCGTGTAAGTAATGGTCACGCGTTAACTACCTACTTTACCTCACAATGAAAGTAACGCATTACCGATCCCATTACCGATAAAAAACAAAGCAGGGTACTTTTACGTTACTCTTTTTAATTTAACGTTTTACTGTTTTGTCGGTCCAGGTATGGATGAGCTCATATTTCAAGAGACATTATGTCATGTACAAACTGAACATAATTACTTTATATTTTTTACGGTTTCACCTAAATACTCACGAAAAAATATAAAGAAAACTAAAGAGTTCACATAACTTGGCGCCTAAAAAATGAAAAAAAGAAAATGAAGTGTAATGTTTAAAAGTCTTGGGGTGAACAGGTAACAAGTAACGTAACTAAGTTACCGGTTACATGAAATAAGTAACGCAACTGCGTTACGCGTTACTGCCTTTAAAATGTAACAAGTGCTTTACTGCGTTACCAAAAAAAACGTTTTGCGTAATCAGTAACGCCGTTACTATGCTACCAACCCTTTGTTAAACGCGAAATACCGCCCCCGCAGGTTTATTGTTTACTGCATGGAATCCTTTTAAAGGACATATGCAAAGGAAAAAACATTTTTTTTAAACGGCTTAGATGGAAAAAGGACGCCCTAAAACGATTTTACAACGAAGAAAAAAAATTTTTAGAGCTATATTTACGGCGCAAAACAAATTTGTAGTTGGCGCCCGCGGGCACCGCGGAAAAGTGATCTGTATTTATCACGTGACTGGTCTTTATTTGTCACGTGGTGCTTGCACTCTTTCGGAAGCTTCCTATGGCCTCTAAAAGTAACTTATTCATCTTTGTTTGAAGTATAACAAAAAACCAAGACGAATAAGTAACTTTTAGAGCCCAAAGGAAACTCCTGAAAAAGCGCAAGCAGACGTGATAGACCTGTGCGCCGGTCAGACGACGGCGGCGGCGCCCCGAAGCAGACGAACTTGTGCGGCGGCGGCGACGGCGGCGTGGAGAAACGCGTTGAAGCGGCGTTCGCACAAGGCTCAGCGTGCGGCGGCGACGCAGCGCGGCGGCGCGCGGGCCTACCACGTGACCAGCGGCGGCTCCCGCGAGCGCCAACTACAAATTCGTATAGCGCCGTAAATATAGCTCTAAAAATTTTGTTTCTTCGTTGTAAAATCGTTTTATGACATCCTTTTTCCATCTAAGCTGTCTAAAAAAAATTTTTTTTTCCTTTGCATGTGTCCTTTAAGGGAAACCCCTTATCCCCGTAATCATTCCTTCCGTCCGTCGGTTCGTTCTTCCGCAGATTTCATCGCTGAATTCAACGAAGAATTGAGTCACCCAAACATCAATGTTGTTTTTCCCAAGTTTAACGGGAAATTGATGTCACGTGACCTATACATCAATTACGTTTTCCCACTCAATTTAGCGGTACAAATATCTCACGTAGCCCGTGAACAAATTTAGTTTCGCCGCTGAATTTAAAAGGGAAGTCGGTGAAAATGCAGGTTCTAGTCCAATTTTTACATAACCGGTAATTATCTCATTAAAGGGCTAATATAATCGCTCCTCCAATGCTGCATTCCATGAACTGTGGGACTTTGGAGACAAAGGTAGCGGCCGATTTGTTTTCACAGTTCCGAACAACTGATAAGTACTGGAGGCAAGGTTGAGCAGTAAACATGCGCGTTCAAGCGTCCAAACGCTCCTACAACGCTTTAGAAAGGATTAGCAAAGATGCCAGCCACGTACCAGCTAATTACTACATTTCGTAAACGTAAGCTATGCCGCGACCGGGTAGAACTTTGTCAGATCTGGCCGTTGGACATTTGGTCGTGCATGTGGGCGGCCAAACCTGGACTCCAGTAAGTATCACACGTTCGGGGATATGAATACAGAAACAAAACAAAAGCCGCGCAAGAGCTCATTTAACAGTCATCGATGGTTTGGAAGCAGCAGTCCATGTGTCTTTCTCACGCACTATAAAGCCAGCTTAAACAGGGCGTGGCGTGTCACGTGCATCTCATTATCGCTCCATAGCCGTTGAGATTCCGGCATCAGCCGATAAGAAAACCGGGGAACCAATCACGAAGAAAGAAGAGACATCATAATAATCCACGCCCTGCGCTTTGATGAAGAGTGTCAGTGACTCTACACAAAAATGATTGAGGCAGGGCATAAAACGCAGTCAAATCCAATGATCAAAGTGCATTCCGCTCCAGAGTGAACATACCGATAATGTGGACGTGTCGACCCACTTCTAATTTTCCGGTAACTGCAGCTAAATGATAAAGCGTAAATCACAATGTTGCGCACCTCATGGGGCTGTCGAAAATCATGTGGCAAATTCATAGCCGCGTCTTGGAAAGTAAAACGGACGGCCGGGCGGTGCGCACCGAGCATGTCACATGGAAGGTATGTCAATAAATCTAGGAAAAACCAGGCGCCAGCAGTAATAAAAATGTAGGCGTCGGCCGGGAATCGAACCCGGGCCACCCGCGTGGCAGGCGAGTATTCTACCACTGAACCACCGACTTTTTTTTTTTCTTTATTGACCACTGAACCACCGACACGTGGGTGTCCAGTCCAAGGCAATTCATTTTAACCGTTAGCTTTCCAAGTGACCTCGTTTAAAACAGGTTTGCTCCCTTTTCCCTTTTGCAAAGTACGACAAAAGTGCGGGCAGCCGTATAATCTTGGCGCGTATGAACACTTCGTCGTCTTGGGAATTTCGCAGCACCCAGCATATTTTCAATGTCGATGCCATCGCGTTTGGCATTATTCGTTAAATAGGTTTATTTTTTTGAAAATACAAAAATTCTCTAACATACGAAACCTCTGAGACCAAGCACGTTTCAATTGAATAGTACCTGCCTAAAGCACGTCGCGGTTGGAAACTTTGAGGTATCACTTCTTTAAATTTAAAATTATGCTTAATTAAACTTACTTCTACATTCTATTTATGAACTTTAACTCAACTCAGGAAAGCATGAACGAGATGAATACACAAACACTCTTAAGCAAGAGTTACAAACAGCATTCAACGTACGTATTGAGTTATTGATACGCTGGAGTGTCCTGGAAGTATGAACTTTGCTATCCTACTCTTGCGCGCTTCAAGTTATGAATGTTTACGAGAGCTTTGGCATAAGTGAAGCTTTCACATTTCCTTTGAGTTTAGTGAAACTTGGAATAATATCATTCTGATACGCCGTTTAAAAAATGTTAAAGTTTTGAATGGCGCTCGTTTCCGAAAACTTGTTTTCAGCTTTGAGTGTCCTTGAAAGACGTCGGAAGTCAAGCTAAATGAAGGACTTTTGTGTTTTCGCTATGATTTATAATTTAATACTGTTAGGGAGATAAACGGTCCGAAGTGCAGCTAGATGTGGCTCCCTGTTACTGATACACAGGTGTTCTCAATCTCTCCTGAAAAGAAACAAAAAAAAAATTTCGACTAAATAAAACTAAACGACGCACGTCAACTGCTGTTCGGCAAGTGATTTTACATGGAAGGATAGGTTGATGCGAAAATAATGTTTGCTGAAACGCACGAGACCTACCATCGAATTTTCAAATATATGACTCGATGAGCTCCTTTGGCGCCTATGTGACATCACATAATAAAAATATGTGAAAAGAAAATGCGTCAGCCGGGAATCGAACCGGGCCACCCGCGTGGCAGACGAGTATTCTACCATTCAACCACCGACCCATTTTTTTCTTATTGCCAGGTTACATATTATATACATATTGAAAAAATAAGGTGCCCCGAAAACTGCAACTTTCAGAAATTGCTTAACATAATGGGGTTAAAACCTATCAGCCACGCTTGGCTGAAGGTCGTTGCGATGGTTAATTTAAAAAGGTTTTGAGGACGGCCAAACCGTCCAGAACTGGTAACCATTCCACATCAGTATTTATCGTTTTGTAACATTCTCTTACCCATTTGATAGTTTCATTGAAGTACTAGCTGGGGGTTTCGTGCGTCAACATCAGCATGCCGCACCGCCATTCTGCTCTTCCATATGCCGTAGAGCCCCAGGGGCATGATTATGTCGTAGGGCAGAGGTTCACGCTCTATTGTTAAGAACCGGATTCCTTAAGGTGACAGTCGGAGCTCTTTTTTTATGGTGCGCAGAAGCACGCCCCAGAAAAAAAGAGCATCCCAGCAGCCCAAAAAGACATGCTCAATGCTCTCCGGTTGTTCGCGAAAATTACAATTTACCGACCAGTAGAGACTCATAGCCTTTTGCCTCCAGAAAAGTCTTTACTGGCAACGTTTCCCTGTGTAATTTAAAAAAAGAAAGCTTTAACCGCCGTTGGTACCATGGCGTTCTTGACTCGCTGTAACACATCATCTCCAGGGGCCCCAGGGCCTATGGACCTATACGTTGGCATGGGCAACAACATAGCACCTAGGTCACGTGTCAAATTTTTGCGTGATACACCAGACAAATAGTTCATAGAAAAACGAACGAACAGAAAACGGCAAATAGATACAACTTCGCGCGAAAACCCCGACAGCGGTCCGCACCGTGCCCGGCAGGACGAAACAACAAATCCCGGTAAAACGTCAAACAGCCTTGTCTGAATGACGGTTCGAAGGAAGGGATCACGCTGGTCACGGCTAAACATAAAGCGTGAGACGAGTTGTCGAACAAATACGTGGCACAGTTAAACACCCCCCGCTTTGGGCTTAAACAAAAGGTTGGTACGGCGAGTTCGCTCCCATTGGGACGCCCAAATAAACACCGCAAATACACGGTTAATCCGTTGAATGTTGATTCTCAAACACTGCAGCACTTGGAGGACATACCGCAGTTTGGACAGAAAAAACACGTTGCACACAGTTGCTCTCGCGAAAATGGATAATTCTCTCCGTACCCACATCTCGCCAGTGGCATTAAGTTTAGCTATTTCTTCTCGCCAGTAATCTGTGGGATCACGGTAATGTTCCAGAGGAACACATAGGTACTTTGATGGCGTCCGTGACCATTGAACATTCCCGAAAACAACTGGAGCAGTCGTTCACTCACCATGCCATAACCCCACGCACTTTGACCATTGCACCGCGCAGGGAGTGACCTCACAAAACCTTTTGGTCAATTCAACAGCTTCTAACACCCCTTGAGGGTCCGAGCAAAAACTGGCAACATCCTCTGCGTATACCAATATTTTAATGTCACATTCCTGTAATGTAAAACCCCTAATATTTTGAGATTGAATGACAGAGCGGCAAAACGGCTCTAGGTACATACCGAAAAGAAAGGGTGATAAGGGACATCCCTGCCGCACTGAAGAGCGGACGTTAATCCCCGCACTAACTGTTTATTAATTACTAGTTTAGTTTTGCTGTAAACATATGCCCTCCTTACCCCCTCAAGCAGCACAGATCCAACTCCCACATGTTGTAAAATGGAAAACAAATCATCGTGACACACCCGATCAAATGCTTTTACAAGATCTATCTGAAGTATAGCTAGTTTCCGATATTGCGCGTCACAGACCTCTAGGACACTTCGAGTATAGTAGTGTGTATGTTGGTGCCAATGATACGACCCTTTATCCCACAGGTTTGGTGCGGCCCTACTATTTTCCATATAACATGCTGCAAACTACTGGCTAAAACCTTCATTAGCACTTTATAGTCAACGTTGGCCAGGGTAATTGGTCTGCAATTATTACTACTACGAAGCTTATCGGCGTCATTACACTTGGGTACCAAGACCATGCGCGTGCACAAAAAAGAGAGTGGTAATTCTTTCTTTTATAGGATTGAGAAAAAACCCTATGCAGAACCGGTGCGATTCACGGCTTAAACTTCTTATAGAAGGCCGTGCTCAAACCATCCGGTCCCGCCGACTTGCCTACGCTTAGGTCATCTATCGCTTTTTCGACCTCTGTTAAACTAATCGGATCTTCTAAAAACGTCGTAGTATCACTATCTAGCTTCGGCTGACTTGGCGAAAATTCCGTATCAAGCACCTTTTCGTTTGGTACTTTCTTTCCAAACAAATGTGCATAATACTCAACAAAAGCATGCTGAATACTGTCCTGGTCTCGAATTACTGCGCCTCTGTACTCTATTTCTTCAATCCGGTTCCCGCTAGCATACTCTTTTCCCAACGAAAGTGCCCTTTTCGTGGGCGTTTCCCCGACAATCAAGTTCGTCGCACGGGCACGAACAATTGTCCTTTTATATCTCTCTTCACTTAATTTCTCAAGCTTAGCCATGATAGTGCTTCTGTCGTCTTTGAAGGATCCCGGCGTTTTCCCCTCCTCTACATAAAGCCTTTGTAAATCCTGTCGAAGACCGTTCTCTACCCTTCGCTATTCCCCCTTTATGTCTTTATGTTAGTTGCTCGTTCAATCGCATCAATCTTAACTTGCTGTTTAAATAGTTCCCACTCCTCACATGTGTTATTTTCCTAAACGCCTTCTAGTCTTTCTAGCGTACTTTCGATTTTCCCTATCAATTCTTGGTCCTCGAAAACGCTTTGCGTTTAACTTCCACGGCTCCCACGAAAAGCTAGTTTGTTCCTTACGCTGACCCAAGGTAAAACTCACCAAACTGTGATCGCTGAACGAGACATGACTGACCGTGAAGTCGTTACACTGGGGTACTAAATCCGCTGAAACATATACCCTGTCAAGCCTGGCATGGCCTCTGCCTTGGTGGTACGTGTAGAGGTGCCGATGTCCCGGTGTTATGCAGGGTGCCAAGTCCTCGAGCCCCTTATCTTGAATCAATAGATTTAAATCTTCACTAGACATATCACTATTTCGTCTTTGATTTATAATAACAGTTTATTTCTATTACACCTAATGGTGGAGCCAAGAAAAAATGCCGCGCTACGCGGCTTGACGAGTTCTCAGCCCCAGTACATTCTGCAGAAGCGTCGGAAATATCAATATACAAAAAATCGTGCATAATCACAATGAATACAGAACAACAACAAAAAAAACATGAAACTAGAAAACGCCACTGAGCACCATATTAGTTGACATTCGCAAATTAACACAAAACGCACTTTTAAACCAAGACACAATGAAAGTCTCCTAGCAAAATCGTAAATCGGTCACTGATTACCAAATCTGTCAATATATTCAAACAAGGCGCGTCGCTTACTCTCCGCGTTCGGTGCATAAATGCAAATAACCCTCCACTTTTGATTTAAAAAAACAAAATCGCAGAGAACAAGTGTTCCCGATTCACGCGATACAAAGTTCTCTTCGATGAGCCCAGCAGCTCTCCTCAAGAACAGACAACATCCCACCAGATCTACCGACAGCATGGCTGACGCAGACATTGTATCTCGATGTAAACGGTTTCACCAGGAACTCGGTCTGACTTTCACTCTCGACTTTCATCTCGTGAACCGCCAAAACGTCTAGGTCCCTCTCTAGGAGAAGGCAGCTCAGCTGACACTGTCGACGGCGTTCCGCGATTCCCCTGACGTTAAGGGTCCCTATGCGCAGACCAGACGTTAGTTGTGCCGTTTCTATTGCGTCAGACAAAGCTTCCGGCGATTACCCT